CCTATTCACAGGCTGCAAGCTAGAAATGCTTATTAGCGCTGGATTATGGCCCCAGCTGAGCTGCTAACACACTTCAGCTAGAGAGCCGGGCTGGAGAAAAGGTGGCACTGAAGCCTTTCATCGTGGTTGCACCATCGCTGGCTGAGCAGCTTCGGTGTTTCCCACCCGAGCGCTGCTACTCCAACGGGCGATGGGTCGTCCATTTGGCAGCAGAGGCATGACCTGCTGAGCTGGGACAATGGCATCGTTCAGAGCTGGTTAGCTGACGAGCACGGCTCAAAATACATCACATTCAAGTGCATCCTCTGGAGTACTTTCAGCTTCAGCATCTCTCCAATAAATGGTGAAAGGGGAATGATTTGGGACAACAGGGGAATAACATGATTGCTGCGGTCTCTGAGATGCTGCTGAGTCCTGTAACGCCGCATGGTGAGCGCCTGAGGAGTTACATGGGGCTCTTCAGACCTTTAGGTCAAACATTAAAACACGAACTGATCAAGCTTTGAAAACCAGCATTGGATGGGGTTCCTTTGCTTTCCTAGGGCTGGAGTGTTGCTTGGCATGTGGGGCAAGGAAGTAAAACAGATTAATGCTTTCTGCTTTCCCTGCACGTGAGCTAGAAGGGAAGAGAAGGGGGCAGGACCCCTATTTTCACTGCCTAGAACTGAGTTAGTGGGCTGTCATAGTTCAGCGCCAATACAAACCAGCAAATCCCTCCTGACCAAGGAAATGGGAAATTTTGTGACTCAGAGGGAACATCTCTATGTATCCTGGGGAAATCCCTAGGCAAAGCCGCCTTAAACACGGTGGCTTGCTCAGATCTGTGCTGAAAATCACAGTCCAGACTAAGCAGTCTATCACTCTTGGTTAAAGTATCCCAGATGAAAAGACACATTTTTAAAAAATGTTTTTAATACTGTTTTCTCCAAAAAAATCATTACCTCCTTCAACTTCTCAACAAGTATAAGCCTCACAGCTTCCCCGCCTCCTCTGGAATTACTAGGTCATTGCAGACATCAAAATTAATGAAGAGATGAAAGATTCAGCAGAAAGGCAAAATCTTACTGAAAAAATATTTCTTAATATCAAAAGCAATTCAAGAATAATGAATATATCTAGCAGAATAATAAACAAATGCAAACTTCCTGATGGTTAAAAGAATACACATAAAGGAGGACACAAAACTTCGGGGTTATTTTTTTCTTTAAAACACCGATTCGTTTTTAAAAGTGAATGTTTCCATGTGTTTCTGGGGCTTTACATAAGTGGGATTTCCACTGCCTAAATTTTTGCAATACCTTAAACTCAGCTAATTGGCAAAACTCAGTCAATGCAGAAAGGGGGCTCTCTTTGCTTCATCCCACAAGACGGACGGGTTACGCTACAGCACGCTTCCCCGTGCGCCCATCCATGAGCACCCTGCTACTTCGCACTGAGGAAATGGCAGAATGGTTATGGCTAACTTGGAGTTGACTTTGAGCAGGGACGAGAGAGGAGGAAAGGTGGCTAGGGGTTAAAATACAATAAACACATATTCAAATTAAATGCCACGTGCAATTCAGCTGAACTTCCTTGTAGGAAAGAAAAGATGTCTAGCTTCTTTGTGATATAGGCTGTCATTCCTCCCTAGCAGTGGCTTTTCAGCTGATGCAAACCTAGGAGAAGAGCTTGTGACCTGTGCCTCTATATTCCACACGAGTCCTGATAAAGCAATGTCATTATATGATTCTATTGGAAAAAACGTTTGTCAGAAGCCATTGTTTAAATAGATTGACACAGATACTTCTTTAGTCTTACCTGCACAGCAAGATGACCTCTTGGCAATCCAAATAGTCTAACAGAAAATATGATTAACTAATATACAGGATCCTCTAACACTCCCATACCACTGCTAATAGAAGAAAAATCAATATTAGTTCCAATATGAATGGAGTGTTGGATTGACTGAACAGGGCGCTTTGAAATAAATATCTAAGAAATGTTTGGATGAAATGGACATCTTTACAGACATTTGGTCTGCATTTCTGAAATGTAGATGATTAAATCCACATTGTTGGCTTCTTCCCTCTCTGCACTATGTCTTTCTTTACATCTTGCAAAAAATTTATGAACAAAGTTATTGTAAATCTGCAATGTCTGTCTTGTCACTTAGATTCTTTTCAGAAATGCTGCCTTGCCAATGTAGATATACAATCCTGTATGATTAATATTTATTACTTATAATTCTAAATACAATGGAAGGTCACCAGAAATACCCTGCCTAAAGGAGTCTGGAGCCCTTTAAAATCTCACTGGTGATGGATCCTGAGTCTTGAGAACTGAGCTCAAAAATCTTAGCAAAACACTTTTCTATGTAGGATTTCCAGTATTTCCTGCTTCTGACTATGGCTAAAGCCAAAAAGCACGAAGGTGAGCGAAAGTTACAGATCTGAAAACATGAGCTTGGATTTCAAACCCAAACAAAGGTCAGGGAATGCCTGAACCTGTCCATAATCTTGGATCAGCCTATAATAGAGCTATGAGCAAGATGCAAAGTTGGGATGCAGTGAGACATTAATTCACACAGAACAGGCACAGTAGCTGAAAACTGTTTAATTTTCCTCTTATTCTTTCTCATATCCATCACAACATCATATCTAGATTTTTGGTGGTGTTATTAGGAAAATGCAGATATTTAAGGATTTTTTTTGCTATTAATTAAAAGGAAGGTACCTTGGGGATTTTCAGGTTTTATAAGGAAATCCTAAAAATATTTCAAGAACATGCAAATCATCTTACAGAAAGCTCATTTTCTTTCTGGTATAAGCCCATCATTTTCAAACATGATTTTTTAAAAACAGATGCAATTTGAAGTCGCTGAGATCAACTGCGTTTTGGCCCTCTTCTAGCAAAACGAAAGTAAGACATATTAGAACATTTCAGAACCTCGGGATTCAGCAAATTGGTGAAGATTCACAGAGATGGAAGAAATCATGACAGACCCTGAACTGGTTCAGCTACCCTGCCTGAGACCTGCTGCGTGTTTGGACAATCTTCTTTAAGGAGCTAAATATAATAAACACAGAGCAAGAATCTGCATCTGCCTCTGCGTCTTCATTCAAAGATTCACTGCAACTGTGACTAAGCAAAGGCACTAATTGAAGTACAAACCTGGAAAAAGAAAACTGAAAAAAAAATGTAGATTCTGTTGATCGGCATGCTCCTAGCCAAAGCATACTGAAAGCAAGAAATCCCAGTGACCATTAATCATACAGAAGACATTTCACTAGAAACGAATTTGCAGAGCATTGCTAATAATACTTTTCTAAGCAGGCGGAGCTTTCTTGACCAGAGTGCTGAGTGAAAACAAAACCAGAAAGACAGACGGAAAGGACCGAGTCAATTAAAATAAATAAATAAATAATTGCCTTAATTTACAAGGAAAAAAAAATCACAAATAACTCTAATCTCATGAAGAAATGTTTTTAACAAGCCACATGTGCTTGCGCAGACACTTCTAATCTCATTAGATTTTTCTGGCTGCTGTTAGTGTTCTCTGAGCCAGCTGATTTCTCAGCAATATTTTAAAGAGCGTGAGCCTTTGCCCTCCAGTCTAGCCGTTGTTAAAATAGCCCGTTCCAGGGGAAGACTTGGGAGTTCACGGATTTTCTTCCAAGGTTTTGGAAAGTTCAGAACAAATTGACCACTGCATGTGAAACAATAGTCAACCACAAAGTATCTTCACAGTCAACGAGCAACATTCTGCTCCCGGCTGGGTTAGTACGAAAAGTGGAATAATCCCACCAAAGCAACAGGATGTCTTCAGATTGTCATCGGCGTCACACGGCAGAGGCTGGCTTTCAATGCTCTCTCCAGTCCTCCAGCTCTCTGGCTGCAAACAAGCCTGCTGCAAGGTTCCCCTCGGTCACAGCTCACCAGCCTGGGATTCCCCTCAAATCAGTGCAGCTCTCTGCAGTTCTGATCAGAAGGGGAACCACATCGGGTTACAGCTCAGCTTTATTTTATCTTTGAAAACAGCAATAAATCCCCCCAAACTGAAAATCAAGAGCCATGTGCGCTGTTGTACATATCAGGGCACGTGAGTTTCATGCAAAAGAGTTGTCATTCTGGATTTGCTAAAGTAACATGCAAATAATCACTAGTATAAAGCAGATTGTGTCAGGCAGACGCTACAGATAGGATAAAATAATCAGGTTTAGAAAACAATCCTAATTCAGAATCGTGTAACCTGGATCGGTAAACCCTGGAGGAGCAGGACTAAGGCGTCATGCATGAATTTCTGCTAGGATACTTGCCGAATTTCTGGCTGGAAATGTGCCTCTCTCTGTTTTAGCCTGCCCTCTTTGAGGCTCTCAGAGCAAAATTCTCCTGGGGTGAGATGATGAGTGCTTGAAAGTGACCCATCTGGAGCCCAACGTGAAGAAAGCGCTTCCCTTGCCTGGAATTCGTGTGCAGCGACAGCTCTCTCCTGTCTATCCAAGTTTCCCAAGACAGCAATTATAAAAGAACTGGCAACCACACAGTCAAGATGACAATATCCTACGTGGTTTGGTTAGCTGTGCCAATTCCCTCTATTTGCTGGAGTCAATATGCTGCCCCCGTTATTGCTGTGCCTGAGTGTCTCTACCGACTAGCAGGTCCACTGGGCATTTTGG